GAACGCGGTGATTTTTAGTCACATTACAAGAACACACTTTGGTACAAATTACATTGACTTCTTAATATGTTAATTGTAATCTTATATATGGCCCGGAGGGTTATGACGGTCACTTTTCATGCGGGTGCGGGTTCGAAACCTACCAACGCCAAGTACCCATGTGACTTTTTCCGAGTTATATGTATATACTTTCTAAGATTATCTAGACACCACTGACAAACGGTGAAGGAAAACATCGTGAGGAAACCTGGGCTTATAATTTCTAATTATAAGTTTGTAATCGCCAACCCGCTTTGAGCAAGCGTTTCCGTGTTAGAAGAGGCTTTGCCTAGCAGTGGGCATTTATAGGCTGTTGATGATTACATCATGATACATGTTATATTACTTTTATTTTTTTTATTTTATACTTTTTATTATTATGATAATCTACATACATATAAACCGTGAAACCCGTTTTTCCGTTGTCACGCCATAACTAGAGAACGGTTAGACCGACTTGGCTGATTTTTTTTTATTGTGTTTGTTATTGGCCGGAGAAGGTTCTTATGACAAAAAAACATTTGATAATCCTACGGGAACGGGAGAAAACGGGACTGCGCGTACAAAGAAGTGGGCAGAAGCTAGTATATAATATAAAGCTTAAGATTAATTAAGTATTTTCGTTTTGAATGCACTAATCTCCGGAACTACTGGTCAGAATAGAATAATTATTTTTGCGTTGGATAGTTCATTTATCGAAGAAGGCACCATTATCATAAAATACGCTATAATCAATGGGAGCCGGTGGAACCGCGTGGAAGTAGCTTTATTAATATTATTGATAAAGTGTTTTCAATTAAATAAGATGATTAAACTGCAGCGCAATTATGATATAACTGACTGACAGTGACAATATCATAGGGATCAGGTACATTCCTTGCACCACCTTCCCTGTATACTCTATTTTGATAGGATTAGAGTTCACTAGTAGATACAGATTCTTGATGGATTTAGTTTTCGTGGTCGGATCTGAAAATAAAAATAGAAAGATATATTCAAACACTAGCTATGCGTATAGCTAGCCCTTTGCTAGCTTTGCTCACGCATAGAATTTGTATTATTTTAAATAATATATGGTGTTAATTGATTCAAAAGTAAACGTATAATTCGTTCAATTGTGGAATGAACTCCCTATGTGGTATAGAAAAGGATATTGGTCGCTCCTCATGGCCCCGATGGTTTTGTCTATTACTATGAAAAAGTGAAATACATTTAGTAACGAATATACCTAGGTACTTACATATGGACAGCGTATTATTCAATTTGAGCAAAGAAGTCCGTGTCTTAGCAGCTTCATTGAGCAATCGTTGGCCGCCATACAACACGACATTGGTACTACATAGTGCATAGACAAACACAAAACACGTGTGGAATATCCCAAGAAACTTGTATGGTTCCTGAAAAATGGTCTATTCTTCATTTTGGCATGTCATGTAATCATCATATATACCACTGACATTAAAGTGAAGGAGAACATCGTGAGGAAATCTGGGCTTATAATTTTTAATTGTTAATTATAAGTTCAAAATCGGTAATCCGCCTTGAATAAGCCTGGTGAGCATTAATTGCTCAAACCTCCGTGCGAGAAGAAGAAGTGGGTACTTATAGTCAGATGGGGATAATATCATATTAATATGATTGATTATTTCGTTCAATTAGTTCAATTTCCGCACAGAGCGACTCTTTGTGTGATCCACATATTGTTGTTCCAAGTGTCATGTGCATATGAAATTGTATGTTTGTAAACGCACCCACGACATAGGAGAAAATCCTAGTGTAAGGCAACGTTTATTAAAAAAAGTACTTACGTTAGTAAAATAAATGTACAAAATACTGTAAGATGAGAAGATATAATGTACCGACGACAAACATAGAGAATATATCATCTGAAACAAACGAACATATTTATACAGTTTCTGAACTTCCAAGTAACTTAGCTAAATGAAAATATTGTACTAAACCCGAGATAAATAAAACTGCAACCAGGCACCGAGGCCAAGGTCGGATACCATCATCCAAAATTTTACTGCATTGTCCAATAGAAGGAGGATTATAGTAAACCTAAGAGGATGGGTGGTTTGTGTACAGCAGTCGACAAACAACTAGTTTAAAAAACTGAATTGATCGAAAGTGAATTTAAAGAAATATAATAAGCACGGAGCCAGGATTGGTCCGCTGTGTGAGCCTGACAGACAGCCGGCCGCAGCACGCGGGGCGCCGGCGCCGACCGCGTCGTGTCGTATTCAGAGCATAGCAATGTTAAGTTAACACGTTCGAGGACAAAACGAGATTATACGTCATCGTTCGAGATTTTAATATCGCACAACGTACGATGACGTTCAAATAACATTTAAATTATACGGCAGAACGTTCATTTCCGATGAAAGTTCAAGTAAAAATCCTTTTAAATGTATCTTGTGTCACAACATATAAAATACCCAACTTTGTACTGTCACGTAGGGTAAGTTTAGAACTATTTAAAATAAGTGTCGTTGATAGTGTGCGGTTACGGTATTCACATACGCACAACGTGTTTATACGTCCCGCGCTCCTACATTCAGCGCGGCTGTGTCACTGTGTACATTACTTTAATGCAAATTAATGATTTTACAGTGTGAAATTGATGTTAATGGGTTATTGTGTGTTTTAGATGGATATAAGCGCAAAATAAGACACAAGATAAGCATGTTTGATGATTCCGACATCTCCAACGAGGCGGATCCTTACCTAGATGCATATACACGTTGACGTGATAAAACGGTTGTGTCATGATATGTTTAAAACGATATTTCTTCATGGGACACTACGTACTGATACGTCGTATAATTTTGTATAGACATGTACTGTGTCATTTTGAAAACCCGACTCAAGTGGTAGCGTCCTCGAACGTGTTAAATACGTCATAGAGTTTATGATCTAGATCGCAACTGTTAAGTATTGTGAAGTACAGATATTACTAACTAGGTAAGCACGGTCACCCACACGAGACTATTTTGCATTCACATGCAATTCGTTCGTCTTGTAATAAAGACTAAATATAATTACCTGAAAACTAAAGCACTTTGACAAGCTCTTACTACAAGTCACCAGCATCATGTAATCTTTGGCCCATTCTTCTATACGCTCTTCTGTCAAAGGATCATTGACCAACCCCCTACCGGAACTAAACTCCTTCTCTTTACTCTCATACCAGGCTTGCAATTCCATTATATACTTGTTCAAAAAACTCAACAAACACTGTATCATACTTATGTACACATAAAAAATAACATGTTCCATGGAAAAACGGATTTCTGAAATAATTTCTGTGCATAAAACGGCAACGAATCCTATAGATGGTGCCTGGTTACGTAACAACATTCGATGTAAAATTCTGACGCCCAAAAGGCATACTCCAAAACCAGTCAGTAATGTAATCGTCACGATGAAGATATTCTTCAGCTTTCTTGAACAGTTCTGACTTGTCAATGACTTGTGACGTTGATGAACAGCAACTATGTTCTGAGCAAAGATTTCGTAAGCGCGTGAATTTTGCACCGCGCATATAAAAGTGGTGCACGCGCATAAGTAATTTGCATAGTAAACGAGGATCGAGTAGTAAACCTTTTCGTTACCTGGTACCTCCATCTTAAGAAGTTCGTAAGTCCCAAATAAAATTACCGCAGCAAATAATACCAATTCAAAAATAATGCGTAGTATCCAAATTTTACGATGTTTCGGTTCTGAGTCATAATTTCTGTAGACGCACAAAAAGTTTTCGGCCCTCACTAGTATGGATAGTATTGTCTGCTTCATTTTAGTGCTCAAAATTAGTATTCAAGCTCTGTGCACGGTATCGCTTTGTGACATAAGAGGTTGACACGTTCACCACCCGAAATCACCTTTTGATATAAAGGGTTAATTGTTACAAGCGTACAAGTAATCTAATTAAGTAATATATAAACGTATTTATATTATTTTTATGTCTAATTCTTACTCGACTGTTTGATTGATTTATGGTTGTTATCGTCATTCAATATCTATGTTTTATATAATATATATTTCCTGTAAAGGTTAATGGAAAAATCCAATGTTTATTTACTCAACCTTGATAAATCTAGTTTGTTATAGAAATGCATTTTTTTTAAAGAAATTTAAAGATCGTAAAGTTAAGTGTCCAGTTTTTTTTCCATAATAAATTTTCTACCTAATTTTGTCGAACATTATACGAATTTGAAGTTAAAGCTGAGGTTTATTAATACTATACTATTTATTTTCATTATAAAATGGTACTAATTAATGTAACTTAGCTTTAAGCCTTTTGTAACACCTTATTCAGTTTATGGTATGCAAATAAATGACTATGAATAGTATAAAATTTAAAAAATAAAACACTTTAATTTGGTTTCCTTTTAATTTATTAAAACACTCTCAGTGCAAAATCAGCCATCAATCCATAGTTTTATAATTTTGTCTATACGTATAACATTAACAAACCTATAAAATAACTTCAAATCTAGATTCTCTAAGAATTTAGACAGAGTTTTTAAATACATTTAGTTTATCATATTTTATTCTTAATGTCATATTATAATAAGTACTATAATATCATGACAGACATTTCATACGTACTAAATTAATTAAAATAATATATAAGGCTTATTTACGTGAACTATTCTAGTAAAGCTGTACTTAATTTCAAGTCACACCGTAACTTTTTCAGCTGCACGACGTCAGTTTTCGAGCATGCTGCTCGTAATTATGGGCCCTTAGCGGGACTTGAAACTAGTCGAGTAACTCGTAGTATCATTTTGTTAGTTCACCGAATAAACATTACCGATTATGACTATAAATAAATTATATTTTTGATATAATTTATTGTGTTGTCCATTCTAAGCTTTGCAATACAAACAATACTAGAATCGACGTAATTAAAAGAACAAAATGTACAATTCTAAATCTTAACACAATGACTCTAAGATTTAAATTACATGATTGAATTGTAAGCCGACAATGACGTAGCTAGCTGAGAGAGACATTATAATAGGTACTAGGTACATGCCTAGCACTATTTTGTTCGTGTATTCTATCTGAATGGGGTTCACATTTACTAATTTGTTAAGGTTACGTAGGCGTTTCGTTTCAGGTGCTTGGGGACCTGGAACAAAGAATGTGGTTATAGGACTACCTCGTTGGCTGAGTAGCCAGGCAAGGAGTCTTGGGTTCGGTTCCCAAGGCGGCCAAATTATTACTGGGTTTTTTAAAAAACAATGTCAGTAGTAGCACGAAGCCTGGAATTGTGCCTGGGCTCACAATAGGCCCCTGTTACATGAGACTTATAACATAAATAATGAAAAGTGGGTCTTACATTGTACAGTGGCGTTAAGTGCCATAGTGTGCACCACAGCCTACCCCTTCGCGGATAAAAGGCGTGATGGTTTTTTTAATGATTATAGAATTTTTTCAATAAGTTTTTAAGATGTTTCTGATGAACAAACGCCACTTGTATACAAACATCAAAAAGTGTTTTTTTTTTTAATTTTCTTTGTATTAGCATGGAGTTTGAAATTATGCCCAGAATACATAGCAATTTTTTTTAAGGGGGAAACATCATCGAATTACTGCTCCCGCCTAGGTGAGGTAGGAGGGAGTGTCAGACTCTTACTTACTAAAAACCACCCCGTTCCTTCTCCTGCACGTCAAGCCGGAGCCCCGGTAACCCGGCTCACCTTCTTTAACATAAGACTTGTACAAAACTAGTAAAAAGTGAGCGTTACATTGTATTATGCGCGATTGTGCCGAATGTTTCAAGATTTAAAGGAACTTTATGAATGCATGTAGGTATGTACATTTAAAGGTCAAAAGTCCACTGCCACCGTGAGTGATGTTCACACGGCAATGCGTAAGTAATTTCATATTAATGTGCACAAAAACACGTGCGTACGCATAAACACACGCACGCGTACGCACATGAATAAAAGTATGTGTGTGCATGTGTGTATAAACGCTGCAGCGCAACCGATAATAGTCTTACGGTGGTAGTGGACTTTTGACCTTCGACTGTACATATATTATGCAAAACAATACTCACGAGTGGACCATGTGCTATATAACGTTGCTACGCTCTTTTTTATGATAGCATTCTCATTTAGGAGATGTTGACCAGCGAAGATGACAAAATAAGCAGAGAATATAGCGTATATTAAAACGTACACACCAACCATTGAGAATACTATGTGCTTAGTGACCTGTAAAGAAATGTATGGAAGATTTTAAATTTATGGTAAGTTCGCCAAAGATGACCCGCTTTCTGAGACGGGCCACTAAAAAAATATGCAGTTATGATTACTTTTTGCGATATCTTGATTGTCAAATAAATACATTACAACCTCCAATATGTTTCTTCTCTACTTTAACCCGAACCTTAGCACATTTACACCACCAGGCGTATTTTAAAAACAATCTTTAAATATACGTATTACATTATAATTAAATACATACGTATTATATATTTAATAGACTGCCTCGTTGGCTGAGTGGTTGTAAGTGCCGGGCAAGGATTTTCGGGTTCAATTCCTGGGTCGGGCAAAGTATTACTGGGTTTTATAAATATTCTCAGTAGTAGCACGGAGTCTGGAATTGTGCCCGGTATATGGCAATAGGCTCACCCCCTATTACATGGGACTCATAACATAAATAGAGAAAAATAGGTGTTACATTGTACAGTGGTAAAATGTGCACCTCTGCCTAAAAATGCGGATATGGGGATAAAAGGCGTGATGTTATGTTACGTTTGTATTATATATACGAAATATATTATTATGAAATAAAAAATAATGTAATTTGATGATGGTTATTTAAAACCGTCAAAAGGAAACACGCTGTATAAATGTACTTACACCAATAACAATAATACAAAAAATTCCATAGACCGAAGTTACCAACTGTACAGATGATATGAATAAACAAAATAACATCTGAAAAACAAAAATATATATATTAAAATAATATTGGAGAATGTTTGTATAATAACTACTATCGTGAGACATATTAAATTCATTAAAAGTCGCGAGTTACGCACTTGAATATACTGAGAAAAGCTCTACTAGTTTTGGACCACAGAGGGGTTCTTCCTCATGAGCAGCGTGCGCGGTCGCAACGATCAGCCAACATTTCTCTACTAGTACATCTTTTCTTAGAATATGCACGTAGGTAATCCGCCATTTTTAGTGAATTTAATATTAGAGATATTATCTATTTATAAAACAACTCTTAAAGAAACTCAGCTTTAATTAAGTATAAACATTTAATACAATAAAGCATTTTTTTGGTAATTGCCTCGAAAGCATGTAATCGATAAAACAGTGCATCCTTGTGCGATCCGCTAAGGAATGGAATTCTTGGCCGAAATCTGTGTTTTCCGACAAATATAACATGGGTGTCTTCAATTCCCGAATGAACAGGTTACTCATAGGTTGGCGTGCTCCATCATCGGCCACATTATCGCTTACCACCAAGCGAGATAGTGGTCGAACGTCAACCTATCTAATATAACAGTAAGTGCTTGTTTAGAGTGAAGTTTAAATCATGAAGAAGCAGAAATTAAGAAATAATTTGACATCATTTATTAAAATATTTATAACATAACAGACTGCCTCGTTGGCCGAGTGATCGCAAGTGCGACTGCCGGGCAAGGGGTCTCGGGTTCGATTTTCGGGTCGGGCGAAGTGTTACTGGGTTTTAAAAAAATTTCAGTAGTAGCACGGAGTCTGGAAATGTGCCCGGTATATGGCTATTGCCATATGCTCACCCCCTATTACATGGGACTCAAAACATAAATAGTGAAAAGGGGGTGTCACTTCTGTGGGCACATCTGCCTACCCCTTCGGGGATAGAACTTGTGCAAAATAAGTAATAATAGTTTTTACCTGACTACTGAAGCATGCCGAGAGTTTTTTACAACATCCAACTAAATCTCGATACTTTATGGCCCATTCGTCCAAATCGTGAATCGTCAATATTTGTTCATTTTCTTCTTTTCTCTCTTCATACGATTTCTTTTCTTTTCTATCATATTCTTCAACAACACTACTAATACTATGATTAACAGTTTTCATAAAGTAATATATCATAGTGACATACGTGTACAATACAACGTTTTCCATAATGTGCCGCATTTCTATATAAATTTCTAAGAAGACGAATACAAAATAAAGAAATGTCATCGTTTCAGGCTCCCTGTAGATCTTGTTCAGGGCTTTGGTCATGAACATGATCGCACAACCACAGCTATGGAACATCACGACGATCTTAACAACATATTTAAACCTTTTAGAGTTATCTTTGTAGAACAAAGATTCTGTTTTGAAACGGTAGTGCAAAGACATGATACTCGTAAAGAACAATTTGAAAGACCGAGATTTCCTAATCCCGTAAATCATAATAACAAATCCACCCAAGAAATTACAAAAGTAAAATATTAAAAATATGACCGGTGTTATTTTCTTTGTACTCCCGGTTACGGGAATTAAAAAAGTGTAACAGTTGTGGTAGAATACATAACTTATAGCAATAAGTTCAAAAATAACGCGAAAGATAATAAAGAATTTGTTGCAAAAACTGAGAAATTCAAAGTTTCTGTGAACACCCAACACGCGTTCGGCTTTTAATAAGAAGTAAATCATTTTGATGAAGATATAAAAGAACGTTGTAAACCCACAAATAGCTGACGGTTATTGATCAAGTTATTTAGTGAAACGACATTAAAATTAGAACGTATTTCAATGATAACATCAACGATCCATATCTTTTGTGACAGCCATTTTATTATGGTTTGCATATTAGGTGAAAGCAATAACATTTACTCCAATAGAAATGTTTGGTTGAATAACGTTATAAAAGCAATTTTCCTCATTTCACTATAATAGCACGTGTATGCTTTCCCGTAATTTCATTGTCGGATGCGTTCTATTTTCTTGTATTTTCGTTTCTGTTTCTCATCTGATGTTAATATTATAAAGAGAAAATACTTCTCTTTGTAAGCACAATAATCCGATACAAAACATGTTTTTCCTTGCATATTATATTCTGAGAAGGCTTCGGCTAATTAACGTCATGTTGCTAGGTGGACTGTATAAGCCACAAAAATATTATAATCTATGGTATAAGCTAATGAATTGGTAAAACAAATGAATAAAGTTATAGAAATGAATTCAAATTCGAACTACAAAATCTAAAGTTGTTATGTTATGAGTCCTTAAAGGGAATACGAAAACAATTATAAAATACATTTTTCTATGAATCTTGCGTAAAATATTTTGAATTTAGTGTGATAAAAAAAATAGTTGTTCTTAATACAAATACATGACGGAACCTACGAACTAACGCAAAGCTGGATCACACTAGGAACACGAAATACTAACTACTAACAACCTATCAACAAACACATAACCTAAGGAACTTAAGGTGCCTATTAGTAAATTAAATAACGTGGTTGAACTGTAACATAACTACTATGTATGTGGCAGAAAGAGACAGCATCATAGGAAAGAGATACATTCCCAAGGAGAAGGTGCTGAATTTGATAACAATAGGATTCGTGGTAACTAAGCGATTTAGGTCCTTCAATTGCCTTGTTTCTGATTTTGCGTGATCTGAAAAGGAAAATCCATTTAAAATAACACAAAATTTAATCGAATTAACATCAACATTTCATTGATTATGTTAACTCATCATCACATTTATCTTTGTAGTTTTTTTCATACTTCAATAAACTTAAAAAACAAATATTGTTTTTGATACCTACAATTCGGCATTTTTTGTGGGGAATAATCATCGAATGTCTTCTCCCGCCTGGGTGAAGGAATGTCAGACTCTTACTGGTAAAAAACTCCGTTCCTACTCCTGCACTTCGAGCCGGAGCCACGGTTACCTTTTACGTTCTCCGTAGTTCCGTATCGGCATCAGCCCTATTCAGCTGGATGGGGCTGAATAGGGATGATGCTTGTAGGGGTCTGATGGCCCTTTGAGGCATGCGCGGAACGCGACACACCGTATACTCCGGTCTGGTTCTGTACTGGCGTCGAGCTTCAATTCGGCACTGATCAAGCTATTATATTATAAAATATCTACCAAAAAACCCGAAATTTAAATTCTAAATCTATTCTCGCGAAACTAAAAGGCATAATTTGTCAGCCCAATAGTTCAGCTGACTATTGATGATTAAGACATAATAAGAATATAATATTTGAACTTACGTGAAGACACTTCACAAGCGAGCAGAGCCAACGCTTTGTTGAAACTGTTGAATTCATTCTGTAGCTTTTGACCAGCAAACAGCAGCGTAATTGTTGCTGACATGTGATATATCAACGAATACACAATATTTGACGTGCCAAGCCTTCGTTGTACATCCTACAAATGACTAAATTTTAGCAAAAAAATCTATATCAATTTCATATAAATTTTAAGTGTGGGAGATCCATGCTTCGGCACGAATGGGCCGGCTCGACTGGAGTGATACCACGGCCTCACAGAAAACCGACGTAAAACAATACCTACGTTGTATTTAGCATGTGAGTGAGGTTACTGGAGGCCCTACCCTCCCCCCCTCCTCAATCTCTCCAATCCCCGAATCCTCAATAATCCTCTAATTCCAAATCCCCAAAAGGCCAGTAACGCACTCGTAATACCTCTGGTGTCTCGTGTGTCCATGGGCGCCGATTGCTTACCATCAGGTGATCCGTCTGCTCGTTTACAGGCTTATACCATAAAAAAGTATCATCAATAGCTATAGGCATTAAATACATTTTTTAAGTTTTATATAGGTGTTAACGGTAGTAAAGTAATTCCATAATATGTCCATATAATTAGTACATATGTCAAACTGTTACCTTCTTGATGATTGCATTAAATATTCCATACATTGAATAGATACACTGTACCATTGCCACGGCAACAGAGAATAAAAGCTGAAAAAATTAAATGACATTTAATATCCGACTTCGGACACAGTCATATAACGAGATTAATAAGTTTTGAACTCATTTAATATAATAAGACTAAATAAAGTACAAAGAGCCTATGATAGAACCTTGGGGAACACCTTTCTGTTGTATTGAAAATAAGTCATTAAAACATTTAATATGAGTGATCTATGTACAGTAGTCGACGTTTTGTGGCTAATACGATGATAACCTTAAATTGATGTGTAAGACATAACTTATACATAGTTACAGTTACGGTTATTATAAGCCACCTCTGGTAGGCACTAGGTAGAAACATATTTGCAGTTATAAGATTGTCAACCCCTGCGGTTGGCGTCTGTCCCTTGTTGAAGTTTTGAATGAATATCACAAACTTCATTTGATTATAAACAAGCATACTTACCAACTCTTGGTAACATAAAGAAATATTTTTACAGCACGCCATGATATTTTGATACATTTCCGTCCAGTAATTGACCTTTTTAGGTAAATCAACAATCTCTTCGTTTCCATCTGAACTGGATTCTGTGTTATCTTGTTCATTGTATCTTTTCAAAACCTCATTAACGGCGATGCTCAAACATTTTAAATAGTTGTATGTAGTCGTTATAGCGCAGTAGACAACTAAATGCTCCAAAGTATAGCGAATATCTACCCACAGCTCATGGACCACAAGTATGATAATTTCTCTCAGAAGATATGTCTCCAAATAATACCAGTCGATCAATCGGATCAGTAACAGAATGATGCCCATCACAGTGAATATGATAAAGCCCACGAAACATTTGACTCTCAGATTTTTAGAAGCATTATCGTAATACTCATTGTCTTTGAAACAATTGTGTAGCTTGCGCAGGTTATCAGTGAACTTACTAAAAGCTTCTGCAGTAACTACTCCACCGATGACTATAACCAGACTTTTCAAAAGTGTGAGGAACTGCAATATATCTGTCATCAGCTTATCCTTATCACTGTAGTCGAAATCAACGATGTTACTCAAAATTACATTGTTCACAGTGATAGCAATGGATAGAGATAACTCAACAATGATCCGGGTGATGGCAATGATCTTCTGATTTTTGGTCAAACTAAAAAAATTTCTATAGATACACATGAAATTTTCACCAGAAATCAATATGTGGAATAAATTCATGGTGGACGAATTACTGTGACAGTTGTTCTGGAAAGACACGTTGTTAATGAATTGAGAAACACATTGCTATGACCTCGTTACCCTAATGTATTACCATTTTCTTAATCATATTACCAACATGTGTCCTTTTCAAATACATACCCGCCACGTATTGGACTTTTAAGTCTAATTGAATGGATAAATATTATTAGTACCTCGATGACAGTACAAGGTTATGAAGATGAAGACTAATAGTCCACATAAGGTTCATTTTACCTTGTCATGTTTTTAATAATTGCAATTGTGTGGGCGTTTTTGTACTTACATTTAGGGGAAAATTCCATAGTTATATAATTAGGATAGTTTGTAAAACTCTTTAATAATTAATTTTACGCAAATTGCTTCTTCTGAACTGACTGATCGTTAGTGGTCATAAGGACAACTTCGGTGCCAATATTTGGGGATCGATTTGGGTTTGCCCAAAACGTACAAAAATCTTATAAAGAATATTAAGCAGAGATCAGAAAACCTGTCAATGATTCTCTCAATACCCTTAATATCAATATACTTTTTAAAATCACAAAAATGTTCACAAACTCATTGCTCAAACTCAAAAGGAAATTGGCTTTTGGTTCGATTTCCGTGCAGACGATCTAGGCACTTGATGATCTAATAATTTTGTTTTTATGGGACCATGACAAAAATTTAATGCGACGGTTTTTTCCAAATATCTTGCTTATGAGACGACTAGCTTCTGCCAAATGATTCGCCCGCATTCCTATGGAATAAAAAGAAGCCTATGTGTTATTCCAAACCATAATTTACCCTGTACCAAATTTTTTCCTCTTCAAACGTTTTGACAAGACTTTGTAACAAACAAAGAAACATACAAACATTCGCATTCATTTAACACTTGCCCCACACTAAGATTTTCTCCTGTATCGTGGGTGTGTTTACAAACATACAAGTTCACATAAACATGACACCCAGACCCCGAAAAATAATCTGTGGATCACAAAGAGTTTTTCAGTGGAATCGAACCCACGACACGTTGCGCGGCAGCCACTTGCCCAACCACCGCACCAACCGTGCAGTCTATTTATAATATTTGTAGGACAACAAAATGTAAATGCGACGATTTTTACAAATATCTTATTTAATAGACGATTGTATTTATTTCGATTTTTTTCTATACTATCAAAAGTGCGTTTCGTTGATCCAATGCGATAGCGAAGCTGTAGTTCTCAGGTTCTGTACTCGGAGAGAAAGTGTACGTAATTTATTTTTGGAACTTTCATATTACAGTCTGTTCAAAACTGGTCCATTATTAAAATACTAACAACAATGAATATAACCGAATTATTATTTACTAACTGTTGCTCACGACTTCGACTGCGTAGAAATTTTTTTTATGGCATAAGCCGGTAAACGAGCTGACGTTTCACCTGATGGTAAGTAATCGGCGTCGCCCATAGACACCCGGCACACCAAAGGCGTTACAAGTGCGTTACCGGCCTTTTAGGGATTAGGAGTTTGAGGATCGTTGGGGATTCAGGGATTGGGGAGATTGGGGAAGGGGAGGGTAATTGGGCCTCCGGTAACCTCACTCACACGACGAAAAACAACGCAAGCGTTGCTTCACGTCGGTTTTCTATGAGGCCGTGGTATCACTCCGGTCGAGCCAGCCTATTCGTGCCGAAGCATGGCTTTCCCACGGTTAAATATGAATTTTAGGACATAACGTTTTATTTTTATTTGTTTTAAAATTATTTTCTAAAATAAAAGTAGCCTATGCTACTCCTTGTTACATCAGCTAACTGACATTAAAAGTCCCGTCATATTTGTTAAAATCGATCGCTACCTACAAAGAGATAGACTGACAAACATTGAAATTTTGGTATGTTTTTCGTATATACCTACATTCATATGCGTGAAGTCATCATCAACAGCCTATAAATGCCCACTGCTGAGCAAAGCCTCTTCTTACACAGAGAAGGTTTGAACATTAATCACCACGCTTGCTCAGTGCAGGTTGGTGATTTCAAATTTATAATTGGAAATTATAAGCCTAGGTTTCCTCACGATCTTTTCCTTCACCGTTTGTCAGTGGTGTCTAAATAATCTTAGAAAATACATATAACTCGGAAAAGTCACATTGGTACTTGTCGTTAGTAGGTTTCGAACCCGCACCCTTAACCTCCGGACCACCGCGACATATGCCTGAAGTAAAAAGCGGTTATTTTAATATTACAAATAGACACTCTAGTATTATTTATTTGTATATATGTATAGATAGGTTCTCAGAATATAGCAATGCTAATTGTAAATAATATTCACTAAAAATAGTTCAAAACTGTTTATTAAGTCACACATGTAGTTGACTAAACACTGACTAAATAATATGATTAAACTGAAGTACAATGATAGAGTAGTTGACTAAAGACATCAAAATTACTGGTACCAAGTATATTCCAGTAGGAGTTTTAGACATTAACTGGATTTCCAGAGGACTCTTTTTAACCAGCCGTAAGAAATCTTTTATCAACTTTGTTTCAGTATTAATAGAATCTGAAATGGAATAACACAAATATTTAACAATTTTTTTAAACAATAAAGTACTTTAATAATTTGTGAACTTAAAATCTATAGGTGTTTATCCCGTTCTTCGTGATTACTATAACTGAGTATATAATGACCTATGGAGTTTCTTACGCGTTCTTCATGGAAATCTACACCTCGGAATGAGCAAATAGCTTCACTAGAGGATACCCGACAGACTGGCACTCTTAATATTTTTTGTTTTACGATTAGAATTACTTTCCTGGGTCTAATTGAAATAAATGATTGTGACTTCTTTTTTTTACTCGGATCATCATGAACAACACGTTATCATCGCTCTAATCTATAAGTTAATTTGAACAAATGAATATTAAATTATTGTCGTAATATCTTCATATTCTTCCATGTTAGGGTGATCCCTTATGTAAATGACAAACCCATTTCCAGATTGTCTTAGACATCACATTTAACTTCTAAATTCACCATTACGAAAAATCCAAACATTTGTTCATACAAAAGTAGTTTCTAAACATCGTGAATAAGGTCTATAATGGAGTAGGTGGAGACCGAGACCGGTCACCGGTCACCGCTTAGGAACTGGAATGTTGCTGACCATTCCACCGAATTTGGTTGTAGTTTTAAGTACATACTTAGGTCTAAATTATATTACGAAATCTGAATTTCTTTCTTTAAATTAGCAATAACATGGATCCCATGGATCTTGAATGATATTAGACATTTCAATATTATGAATGTGTAAATTACTTCTTACCAATAACTATCATTGTTTTGTAAAGCCTGGCCAAAATCCTTTGGGAATCAGCTGCCTGGTTTCGAAGCAATTGTCCAGCAAAGAATGGTACGACAAGCAGGATTATGTATGAGCAAATAGTTACTGTCGTCTTGAAAAAAACTTCAATGTCTCCCTGAAAAAAAAAATGTAACACACAATGAGTATTGGTCTCACCTATGGCAGAATCAAACACTCCACATTTGTCGCAAGAGTCGATTAAGGGCAGAACTAAAGTGTGTAATAAAGGCTGCGTTTTCTGACATAGCTGAACTTTTCCAACTACAATTTTCATGTCACTTATCAAGCTATGGAAAACTCTCTAATGTCCGGAATGATACCTCGGCCTCACAGAAAACCCACGTGAAGCAACACTTGCGTTGTGTTTCGTCGTGTGAGTGAGGTTACCGGAGACCCAATTACCCTCCCCTTCCGCAATCTCCCCAATCCCTGAATCCTCAACGATCCTCAAACTCCTAACCCCCAAAAGGCCGGTAACGCACTTGTAACGCCTCTGGTGTTCCAGGTGTCCATGGGCGACGCCGATTGCTTACCATCAGGTGATCCGTCTGCCCATTTCTCCATCCATTCTTATGCCATAAAAAAATGTAGATGCAGACAACCTGATAGGAGAAGGGTCAGTAAGAGTTTGACATTTTCTCTCGCCTCATCAAAGGTGGGAGAAGACATTGGATGTTTTCCTCCCTCAAAAAAAAGCTATAGCTGGTCAGCAATAGACTGTTAAGGGCTCTTCATGACTAAAATGGTCTCTGAAGCTATTTTTGTTATTTTGGATTTAGAAGATCATTGACGTCTTATAACGCCGGCAATATTACACACACGCGTACACAAATCCATGGTGTAGGTACCAATAGTAAAATAGTATGCTATTTTCCTAAAAAGTACTCTATATGCTGTTCCACACCATAACCTACCTTATTCACAATTTCATCTCGAGCCCTTGAGCTCTCGATCCGTTGAGCCATTTTAACCTCAGAAATAAACAACAGCCTCGTTGGCCGAGTGGTCGCAAGTGCGACTGCCAGGCAAGTGGTCTCGGGTTCAATTCCAGGGTCGAGCAAAGTACTGGGTTTTAAAAAAAAATCTCAGTTGTAGCACGTAGTCTGGAATTGAGCCCGGTATATGGCAATAGGCTCACCCCCTAGTACATAAGACTCATAACATTAATAGAAGTGGGTGTTACATTGTACAGTGGCATTATGTGCACCTCTGCCTATCCCTTCGGGGATAAAAGGCGTGATGTTATGTTATAAACAAGACACAAATTTTCCCATTTACAATATTAGTAGGATTATATTTATTACCTCTATATACTCACCGATGTCAGAAAAGCGTAAAACATTTCGTATAGTATCGAGACATAGTTTGCAATTGAAAGTATTAACATGAAGATGTACTGAAACAATAAAAATATAAATTACAAAATGTATTTTTTTACTCTCTGCCTTTACCATCCACTGAAAATAACGAATTACATCGATTATTAAACCATTTTAAAATCACCTAATCATTTCATGATAGCCAAGCAAGATTTCCGATTCTAGAATGTAGATAATTCAATTAAATATAATTTCTTTACATCATAACAATTATGAGCAGTCGTGTCTAAAGCCACAACAAAAATATATATCTCCATAGGAATCTACACCTTAGAATGAGCAAATAGCTTCACTTTTAATTTTATTGTTGACGTTCAAAAGTGCCTTTCTGGTCTAATTGAAATAAATTATTTTGACTTTGACTTTGACATTGACTTTGACTTTGACTTTAAGTACTAACCTGATTTGCAAAGCAATGCGTCACTTTTTTACAACCGTTTAGTAACTCCTGATATAGGTCAATCCATTCATGAATTTGCTCGATTTTCAGATCATGTCGTTCATCTGTAGTGATTGAGCTTTCTAAAGCCTTTTG